ACCGGAAGTGGCACCGTGGTTCATGTAGTAGAGTGCTAGCCTTGAGCTGAAGAGCTAAGGGACAGCGGCCCAGGCCCAGAGTTCAAGCCCCACGATCAACCAAAAAAAAAAAAAAAACTTCCCCTACAATATACTTTATACAGAAAAACATAGCAAGTAGAAATTCTTAGGGTCAAAAATGAAGGTAACTAAAAAACAAATAGATAAATACATGAGCAAATATTACATCTGTTCTGATGTAATTTGCTAATTCAAAACAAAACAAAAAAATAATGCTGGCAGAGGCTGAGAATGTGGCTTAGTGGTAGAGTGTTTGCCTAGCATGCATGAAGCACTGGGTTCAATTCCTCAGTACCACATAAGCAGAAAAAGCCAAAAGTGGCGCTTTGGCTCAAGTGGTAGAGTGGGAGCCTTGAGCTGAGGGACAGCACCCAGGCCCAGTTCAGGCCCCACAACCGACGAAAAAAAAAAAAAAAAGGAAAAAAGAAAAGCTACCAACATGAGACTCAAGGTTCTGGATGAGTTGGGCATCATGACACATGCATGTAGGAGGCTGAGACAGGAGGATCATGAATGTGAGGCAAGCTGGGGCTACTCAGCAAGTTCCAGGTTAGCCTGAGCTACATAGTGAAACCCTGTTTCAAAATACAAAAAAGAAAAGAAACAGCCCTACGAAAAACTGGGTATCCAGTGCATTTCATATTTTGGATTTTCAGTTCAAAAATGCCCAACCTATAGTTTGTATAGTTTTTTCTTTGCAGTGCTGGGGCATCAGGAGCATGTTACACACTGTATAGCTATAACATCATAGGTGGACACTTCTAATTTATCACATCTATCTGGGAAAGTTTTAATTGAAAACTACTCAGGAAGCAGTGCATGTACTTGTTCTGATTCCTACCAAAGGACGCCTGTCATTGATGCTTCCACAGTTCCCCCCATTACACAAGTCTGATTCGATTGAAATAATACGAGTTTGCTCTTGAGAAGAAATAACCATTTAACCTAGAAGCACAGAGAGTGGGAAGAGCTATTATTTCTAACATGTGAGAGCATGGATGTTCCCAGTTACAGCTGAAGCATCTTTGGATAGTGACTGTAAGTAGGGATACTTTCAGAACATATTCCTTCAATTGGTTAAACATTAATCCTTACTCAACTTTTTGTGGGGGCAATATAATATGCTGCAGATCATACCCAAGCTTTCCATCCTGGGAAAAGTCGGCTGAGGTTTTTGGGGTCCATGGCCTGCTGAATGAGCAAATTCACTTGCCCACCCACACTGAGCACGGTGCCCTCCTCCACTCCTTTCAGCTTCTCTTGCAATCTCATCAACACTCGCTCAGCTACTTTGTTGAAACTCTGGTCAATATCACTAAGAGAAAAATGTAAAGATGTCAATGATGTACAATAGTTTTTAAGGGCCTTGGGAATAAGAACATCTAAGTAATTAGCAAAAGAAGTTTTTCCTAAAATACTGCTCACCTAAGGCTTCGTTTGCAGTCTTGGTCATCTGCATTTGGAGTAGAATGGAGCTCAGCTTCATCCTCTGGCCTCTGCTGTAGATATAAAGCTTTCAATGGGTTCATAGTCCAGTCAAAGAGTGGATCATACAGGAGGACCTAAGTAGAGAAAACCCGTTTTTGTTTTTTTTAATGTGCTGAGGAATTGAACCCAGGGCCTCATGCATGCAAGACAAGCACTCTACCACCAAGTCACCTTCCCAGCCCCAAAGCCCATGTATTTTATCAACAATGTGTGCCTTCTGATCAGGTATTAAAAGTGATATAGCCAGGACTGCAAAATAAATCAGTGAAAATAACAGGTCAGTTACATGACAGCTGATGAAGGAGGATGAGCAAACTCACACATTTTCTGCTGTGGAGAATACTATACTAACATAATCCTCCCAACTTCTTACCAATTCTGAGCTCATTCTATGTACTAGTGATTTCTGTTAGTTCTGAACGCAAGCATAATTCCTCGTAAATCCCAGTGGAAACTATTCTCGAAACAATACTATGCTGCGATAGTCACCAGTGATTTATGCCTATAATCCTAGCTACTCAGGACGTTGAGATCTGAGGATTGTGGCTCAAAGTCAGCCTGGGCAGGAAAGTCCATGAAACTCTCATCACCAATTAATCACCAAAAAGCTAGAAGTGGAGTTGTGGCTCAAATGGTAGAGTGCTAACCTTGAGCACAAAAGCTCAGTGACAGGCCAGGCCCCAAGTTCAAGCTCCAGGACCACCACAGAAGAAAACCCCAACTATGTCAAAATCATGACATAAAAATGTCAAAGTGCTTGACTTTATTTTAGACTAGAGATTAGTTACAATGTAGTAGCAGTACTAGCAAGATAAAGCTTTTCTGGTAAAGAAATAAGCATGTCCTTAAAAAATAAAACTTTACCTCTACAATGGTTAGCAGAGTTTCCTGAGAGTTTCTCATCACTTCCATTGTCTTCTCACAGCATCTACAGATTCAAATGCATTAGATATGGGCTTTGTTACACACCAATGTTTTCAATGTATCACCTCTTGTAGATCTTGTGTAGTATGTGAGACTAGCACTATTAACAATTCCCAAATCTAATATACTTGGCAGAGTGGACTTTTAATAATATTTCTGAAATGAATACAAATATATAAAATATATAAATATATTTGTGAATGTTCTATAAGCTTTGTATTTATTACCATGAAATATTTTAGTCTTCAACTACTGTGTACATAAACTTCTGCAGAAAAATACAAGGGAATGTAAAACGTCTTTAGCAGGAAGCTGTATTTGAGTATAAGCTCCTTTAAGAGAAAATTGCAATCTCTTCTATATCCTCAACAAGGTGAGGCCAAAAGCAGTTATGAGTAAAATGTTAGCAAGTTAGCTGGGACCAAGTAAACGTGTAAGAGTAGGTTTCTTCCAGAGCTGGTCAGCAATGATGGTATGTTACATTAAGTCCCAAATGGTACAAAGGAAGGAAAAACTATTTTTGACACCAAAAAATTGCCTGCCCTTCCTCATGTGACTTACCTTCTGAAGACCCCTTCAACACCAGTGATGCCCATGCCATCCACAATATCTCTAGAGAGCCTAAAAGGAACTGTTTCAGGAGTAGGAAGGATTTTACCCTGTTCAAAAGCAACCCCTAAAATAAAACCAAAACAAAACCAAAACAGTGAGGTGAAGGAGTAACAGTTAATTTATTTTCTTTACAAGAGGCGTGTGAACTTCATAAAGGCGGCAAATAACCTGTCACCTTTATTCTGTTCCTATATACCATAGGTCCTATATAACATGAATCTTTGGGGTTGCCTTTTTTACTCTATGGAAATTCATATAGACTTGTTGGTTTTTTTGTTTTTGTTGGTTGTGGGGCTTGAACTCAGGGCCTGGGTGCTGTCCCTGAGCTGCTTCTGCTCAAGGTGAACACCCAGCACTTGAGTCACCACACCACTTCTGTTTTTTTTGAATAGTATATTGGGGATAAGAGTCTCATGAGTTTCCTGCCAGCCCCGTGATCCTCAGATCTCGGTCTCCTGAATAGCTAGGATTTCAGGCCTGAGACACTGGCACCCAGCTAATTCATTATCTTAATAATTGATCTGGTCAAATGTCTGCTCATGTCTATTGCCTATTTTACTATCAGATTTCTTTTCTGTATGTGTGTGTGTTTAAAGAGTTCTTAAAGACTGTACTTCTGGGGTCAGGTTTGAGATCTCTGGCTAGCCTTCTACACTGAAGCCATTCTCATGACTGTTTATTCTCTGTAAGTATTGCGCTTTTCTGTCCTGAAATTTCCATCTGGTTCTCCTTCATATCTTTTGTTTCTGTGTTGAATTTACTACATTGTAATTTATTTTCGAATTACTTTTTTGTAATAAGCACTTTTAGGATGGCTGCTTTATGATCTTTGTCAAGTAATTGTAACCTTTGTCATATCCATGTTATATTCAAGTTGAGGTTTTCTTGCTTCCTGGCTGTGACTGATTTTTCAATTAAAATCTAAACTTGAGTTAAGAAGAGACTCTTTTTTATTTTTGAAATTTTTTTGTAGGTCATGGGGCCTGAACTCTGGGCCTGGGTGCTGTCCCTTAGCTCTTCAGCTCAAGGCTACTGCTCTACCACTTGAGCCACAGTGCCACTTTCAGCTTTTTCTGCTGAGGAATCAAACCCAGGGCCTTGCAAGACAAGCACTCTACCACTGAGCTACCTTCCCAGCCAAGAGGAGACTCTTGGTTTAACTTCTGCATTCACGGCCTTTGGGAGCTGACACCAGTCCTGGTCCTGGTATCCTGCTTGGCTCTTTACTACAGCTAGTAGGGCTGGAAAGCACAGCCTCTCCAGAAAGTTGCCATTCATTTTGAGGGCTAGTTTGGACACGGGGGAAAAAAGGCTGGAAAAAGCTGGGTACCTATGGCTCATACCTATAATCCTAGCCATTTAGGAGGCTTAGATCTGAGAATCATGGTTTGAAGCCAACCTGGGCAGACAAATCTGTACGACACTTAACTAGCAAAAATCTGGAAGTAGAGGCATTGCTCAAGTAGTAGAATGCCAACTGTGAGTAAAAAAGCAATGTAGAAATTGTGAGGCCCTGAGTTTAAGCCCCCGAACCCTCCCCCCACAGGTTGGAAAAAAATAGATAAGCATGTAAGAGCATAAATGATACAGCAAGAAGGTTTAACAGAATGTTGCTGGAGTCTCAGAAAAGCAGAATCTAAACAGACTAAAGATGTTACTGATAATATGTGATAGAGATAACACTGCTGGTCTACCTTCCTTTTGGGGCTCTAAGATGCTAAGTACAAAAGAGGCCAGTGGAAAAGCACTCAAACATCAGACAGGTAAGAGAAGAATCTATCTGGACTCTCTCTTATTTGTATATTCAGTTGACTAGTCCAGACAGATTATTTCTGCATGGGAGATCCTCACAGGCTCTGACTGTATCTAATATGCTTGGATAAGCACATTAGGATGAAGAGTACACGGCAGATTCTTTTCCTATCCTCCCTTTTACGTCAAATTTCCTGCAGAACTATTCTACACTTTTTTTTTTGGTTGTGGGGCTTGAACTCTGGGCCTGGGCGCTGTCCCTCAGCTCTTCAGCTCAAGGCTAGCGCTCTACTACTTGAGCTACACTGCCACTTCCAGTTTTCTGGTGGTTTATTTTTTTTCTTTTTCTTTTTTATTGTGAAAATACTGTACAGAGGGGTTACAATTACATGGGCAAGATAATGAGTACATTTCTTATCAAGCATTGTAGCCTCCTCCTTTGTTTCCCCTTCCCATCCTCCCCCCTGTCCCCCCACTCTGGTGGTTTATTGGAGACAAGTTTCACAGATTTTCTTGTCCCGGTTGGCTTTAAACCGCGATCCTCAGATTTCAGCCTCCTGAGTAGCTAGGATTACAGGCGTGAGCCACTGGTGCCGGGCATATTCTACACTCTTAAGTCTACACAGTTTACACTATAGTTTCTATTCTCTGCAAGGGCAACTTCCTGGGGCTGCTCTACAATTGATGAAGCTCAAAGACCTACTTTCAGCATTTACTTTATGTGGTATTTCTGTCTGTTACTAGTGAACCTATACTTATGAAATTTTTTCTTCCTTCTTCCTCCAGATCTGTCATTACATTCCAACTTCTTTCTTCCTTGTAGAAAACTGTCTTTTCCAATTGGAAATCCCATTACTTCAAAATAATGTGTAAAATTAAACTTGTGACATTCCTTTTATAAACCCTCCTAAGTGCCTTGATTATGTAGTGGTACAAGCAGTGAGAACAAATTTCTACTACCATTCCTACAAATAAATATTTTATTAAGATACCTCCTGTATACACTTACCCAAATCTATGTGTACAAGTTCTGCTGATTGCTCATTTATTAAGATATTCTGTACATGCCTATCACCAAGTCCAAGGATGTAACCAACTGAAAGAGAAAAAAAATCAATGAGTTCATCTATTTTTAATGAATACTTAGCCATAGTTTTAATTAATACCATTGACTCAATATAGTTTTTAAGTAGTTTAGGTTTGTTAGCATGTTTAAAGGAAATTAAATATATAAAGTAGTAAAGGAAAATAAATATATAGCATAGCCCTTCTGAGTTTAAGCCAAAGCTGGCCAGCTCTAAATTCATACTGCATTTTACAAATAGAAGCATTACCATTTTTTCTTTTAATAAAGATGCAATTTTAAAATACCAGTACCTTGAAAACTAGTGGTTAAGGTTAAAATTCATTATTTACTTGGGCCCAAGCAGCACATTATGTGCATGCATTTTTACTGAATGTATTTATAAATCAAGAAGTCTACAGGTACATTTTTCATTTTATAGTGAAACTTTTCTTCTGCTTAATGAATTATATTGAACACAAATTAATCAGAAGTTATCAATCAGGATAAACAAGAAATGATGATGGGGGGGTGAGATGGGAAGGGATGGGAAGTGGAAACAAAGGAGGAAGCAACAATGCTTGATAAGAAATGTACTCATTATCTTGCCCATGTAACTGTAACTCCTCTGTATGGTATTTTCATAATAATAAAAAAAATTTTAAAAAGAAACAATGATCTAATGATAAAGATTTGATTAGCAACCACCATCATCCTCCCATAATTCAGAATACTAGAAAAAAAATACTGCATATATTAAAGAGAGACAAGATGATGATGAATAGGAGAGGAAAGTTATAAATCTCTTAAGGTCAGATTACCAATAGAAGATGTGGCCACACTGCGAGTATAAGCCAATCGTTTCTCAAACCAAACAGCTGGGTCCAAGAATTTTTCCATGCAGAAATATCGGAAAACTGGTTGAAAGTTTTGGCAAACATCCATGAAGGTTTCATGCTTTTCTTTAAAAGACTTCTTTTGTACCTCCTTTAAATTGAACATTTATAGTGTTATTTTATCAAAAGTTTCAGTGAATCCAACTAATACCCATTATGTCTTGAGAAAGTACAAATGCCCTAGTATTTCACAAAGCACATCTTTTCATGCTGGTAAGCTAATTTTTATTAACTAATTTTTTGTTGCATAATATGTGCAAATGCTTAATTTTAATAAGTCATTAGATCTCTTAATATCTTTAATTTTGGATGTTACTCACCATCATTTTCTTTACGCATTGAGAGGCACTGAGATCTTGTGGCCTGTATCTTTTATGAGCACCTTCTTCATTGTTAACAAGAAATTCACCAATAGGTACAGTTCCTGTACACCACTCAAGAACACCACTTCGCTGGGACAGGGGAACCACCTGAAGTTAAGTAAATACCTTTTGTTTATGGATGGTCATTAAAGAGCAGTTGACCATTCAAATGTCAGTGAGAAAAGCATTTTTCCCCCAAGGCTGTATTATTACCAGACAAAGCTCCTTGGAGGAAAGCAATGGAAAACATTGCGTTCATAAACTCAAAGAATATGACTTTTCTAGCTTTCTGTGAGTCTAGCCCTCTTGTTGATCCCCACAATTTCATATTTACCAGATTTGTGCCCATAATTAATCTGTTCAACTTTGTTGAGGAATTTGTTTTAGACACAAGGTCTTGCCATGTTGCCCAGGCTGTCTTTGAACTCACTATTCTCCTGCTTCAGCATCCCAAGTATCTGGGGTTATGGGTCTGTGCCTCAGTGCTCTGCTACTTTTCTTTCTTCTTTTTTTTTGTCGGTCGTGGGGCTTGATCTCTGGGCCTGGGCGCTGTCCCTCAGCTCTTCAGCTCAAGGCGAGTGCTCTACTACTTGCATAGCACCACTTGCAATTTTCTAGTGGTTTACTGGAGATAAGAGTCCCACAGACTTTCCTGCCCGGGCTGGCTTTGATCCGTGATCCTCAGATCTCAGCCTCCTGAGTAGCTAGGATTACAGGTGTGAGCCACCAGCACCCGGCTTGCTACCTTTCTTATACTTAAGGAATTTCTTCTAGTAAAGAATTACTCACGTGATCTCCATTGTAATATACTTTAATTATTCTACATCATTTTTTAATGATCTAAAAGCTTGGCATTTTGAGCTAAAAACCTTCCTCTACTTTTTCATTATACAATACCTGTTCCTTTTTTTTTGGTCAGTCATGGGGCCTGAACTCTGGGCCTGGACACTGTCCCTCAGCTCTTCAGCTCAGGGCTAGCACCCTACAACTTGAGCCACAGCTCCATTTCCGGCTTTTTCTGCTTATGTGGTGCTGAGGAATAGAACCCAGGGCCTCATGCATGCAAGGCAAGCGCTCTACCACTGAGCCACCTTCCCAGCTCCACAATACCTGTTCTTTAAGAACTTTTTAGCAATCTCTTTTCAGGTTTACAGAGTTGTACAGAAAAAATGAGCTTGTAACTAGGGGATCTTGTGGCTCATAAAGAATATAATATTTACTATTCAGTCCTTTTCAAAAAAATATCTGCTGATCTTTAGTCCAAATAATGCATCTTTTCTTGGAGAAGCAACAGAATGTAACTAATTACCTTGTATGTGCAGATAGTCAGTTTTCTCTTCCTAGTTTCAGTGTTTCTCTGCAATAAAGTATTGCACATTTGGAAAACCTGCTGCATGACAGCATCTTGTCTCAGGTCATCACGGCCCTTCAGAATAATCACACGTAAACCGTCAGCCAGGGAGAGCAACAAGGTACTCAGCAATAAATATAATCATCTCTGCTCCTCTTAATAAGTAATTAAGACCTTTTGTCAATTCTTTCATTTAGTTATTGCCCTGGGAAGCTAACTGATGGGGAAAAAAAGTTTGTTACCTTTTTTTTTTCTTTTTAAAGACTAGGTCTGGCTAAAACAAACAAACAAAGAAACCTAGGTCTGGCTATACAGTAACTTCTAAAGTAGACTGAGCTGGGTAGCCCAGGATGCTTTTGGAATCACAATCCTTCTGGTCTTTGCCTACCAAGTGCCAGGATTGTCACTCTGTGCAACTATGTCCCCTAGTTGCTTCTGTAATTAGACTAAAGGAACTCCCACACCTGAACTTTGCAAAACACCTGAGATACACCAGAGTGTATCTCTCCACTGTTCTTTAACAGGTCCCAAGCAGCTCCTGAGCAGCTGGTCAGAAAGTGACAGATGCTGTCTCCTCCAGCTACAACAGTTGGTATCATGGCAGACCCACTATAATGAGGCACAGGTCTCCAATGTGTACTTATGGAAATTAATCACTACCATATTTTCAGCAGGCTGATTCTTTACATCATCATGCCTATAATGCATTATGGTATTTTTTTACTTAAAGCAAACAAACAGAACAATAGTCTTTCAGACACAGAGAAAAGCATTATTTCTTTTTTTTTTTTTTGGTCGGTTGTGGGGCTTGAACGCTGGGCCTGGGAGCTGTCCCTCAGCTCTTCACGGTCTCTCCTGCCCGGGCTGGCTTTGAACCGCGATCCTCAGATCTCAGCCTCCTGAGTAGCTAGGATTACAGGCGTGAGCCACCAGCGCCCGGCAAGCATTATTTCTTCAAAAAAATCCATTTCTATTCCACAGGTTTTGTTTAGTTACAATTACTCAGAATAAAGACAGGCACACAAAGTATTAACTCTTTAGCCCTTTAAGGTCTGTAGCAAAAAAAGCAAAAGTCTTACCTTGACAAGTTGTCTTCTTTCCTTCCCATCAGAACCTATACAATCTATTATTTTTGGTAAATTTAAGCCTCCTGCTAAACGAAACTCTGTTTTAAATGACTGTATAGTCACCAGATTTCCATATTCACCTGTAGGGTCCACCTAATGAAAAGTATAATTATGATAAGTTAGACATACTATTTGCATTTAAAGCAAACTATTACAAATGGCAGTTTAAATATTAAGCAGAAGAGTGAATGGCAATGTGCCTCCTTGGTTGAGAACTGGAGGTGTAATTCATTTTCTGTTTAATGAAAGATAGGACAGTGAGAAGGTGTAAGCCTTTCATATAGATATTTTTAATGAAACAAGGATATTTAAAGTTAGAATGGTGTCGCTGAAAAATCACTGAAAACTTAGCATACGTGATAGCATCTGAGCACTAATTCCTCTAGAATATCATCACAACAACATCAGGTGATTTTGAAAGAGGGTAAGGTGGTATTTCCTAGGTTAAACTTCTTAAATCAAGAATTTAAGGAAATATTCAGTTAAGTAACATAGCTAATAACAGCTGGAAAGTTGCCAAGTTACTCCACGGGATGCAACATTTCAAACTCAATAACAGTAGACACTAGGCACTACACTGAAATTCAAACATGAGATTTACAATGCACTTAATATTTTCTAAACTATAAACTTTTCCATTACAAATATCCCCACCCACAAGATGCTTCTAGCAGTAGAAGATCATCATGATATAGTTAAGTATTATATACAGTCAATTTAATGCAATAATACACATTTACTTGAAGTGTAATATAATGGCTATCTTCCAATGCATACTGAACTTAAAAAAAAAGTGGGCATGTTATTGCATATAATCCCAGAACTTTGGAAGCTGAAGCAGCAGGATCACAAATTTGAGGCCAGTGTAGACTACACAGGAAGACCCTAACTTAAAACAAACACATTCTAGCAGCCAGGGAGTATGATTCAAAGGTAAGAGTGCTTATCTACCATGAGTAAGGGCACACACATATTAAAAACAAGTAACTAAAATAATTATGAACTGTTGAACAACAATTAGTGTGGGTAAAAAAACACATGGAAATTTTCCTTCTAGCCAATGAAGGTAAGTGTCTATGGACTTGTCCAGAAACATAGGTGCAGAACTGAGAAAAATGAGAATACACAAAGTCTTTAGGTTGAAACATGAAAATTGCAATATTTGACTGTTTTTTTGGTCGGCCGTGGGGCTTGAACTCTGGGCTTGGGCTCTGTCCCTGCGCCCAGCGCTGTCCCTGTCTTCAGCGCAAAGTGAGTGCTCTAATGCTTGCGCCACAGTGCCACTTCTGGGTTTTCTAGTGGTTTTTATTGGAGATAAGAGTATCATGAACTTTCCTGCCTGGGCTGGCTTTGAACCGTGATCCTCAGATCTCAGCCTCCTGAGTAGCTAGGATTACAGAAGTGAGCCACCTGTGCCCAGCATTAACTGGTTTTGAATATATAGAAAGGTATCTCAAATGTTCAATCTAATGAACTAGTCTAATTAAAAATCAAGAGTTAGTGGTAAACTACCTTGATTTCCATAGTGGGAACAACAACATCTTCTAAATTCTTCAGTTTAATAATTGGCTGGTCTGCTGGAATACTGATGCCTTCTGTATGTAAAAAGAAAAGACTTTAGTGACAGCTGAAGAACAGCACTAGAGGTCAAGCAAAAGAAGCAACATTGATCCCAAACACTCACTTCTGTGAGTCTTCCACTGAGTGGCATCTAAGTTTGCTAGTAAAATGTAAGCATCACAAAGTGCCTCAACATTCTTGACCATCTGCTGTCTCTTACGTCTAATGGTACATATTACTTTGTTTGCAGCCTCCATTCGATCCTAGCAATGAAAAACCAATGAAAAAGATTACACAGTAACCACTCAACATCTAAACTTGCTATAAAAAACAAGAAAACTAAAACTGATGTAGATTTAGACAATGCAACTATTAATAATCCAAAAGTCCTTTTAAGAAATAATAAAATAATGAACCGCATAGTAATCTCAAGTGTCAATAACTTAGGTGCTTTAAAAAATTTGGTTTTCTTTGTCCTTCGATGTGAAAATAAAAGCAAAATAGTACAGCTATTTATGATTTGAGAAATATTCAGAATTTTTTTTTTTTTTTGATCTGGTCATGGGGCCTGAACTTTGGGCCTGGGCGCTGTCCCTCAGCTCTTTAGCTCAAGGCTAGCTCTCTACCACTTGAGCCACAGCGCCACTTTGGCTTTTTTTCTTTTTGCTTATGTGGTGCTAAGGAATCGAACCCAGGACCTCAGGCATGCAAGGCAAGTGCTCTACCACTGAGCCACCTTCCCAGTCCTATTCAAAAATTTGAGCCTATTTTAGGTGGTACATAACAACAAAGGATTTTAAAACTAAGTACTATTAGCAATATGCATACTTAAAACCAGAAGACTTAAGAAAGGAATATTCTGAGAAAGAATGAATATCATAATTCAAAAAGCATTTAACTAATACCTTATCAAGCTGAGAGTTTTCTTTGGGTGCATTTTTAGTTATTCTGCTCCTCTTTGCTACCTCTGGTTTGGTCAAAATTTCATCCTTGTTTGCATTTGCTAAAGCCAATATAATAAACAAAGTATGGTGGGGGTGATCCATTGAAATCCTAGAGATAAGCTGTAGAAAGTTAAGAATTATTAGTTTCATACAAAATTTCTAATTAGAAATGTACATTTAAATTTTTTTTGCTTTAAATAAAAATGCAAGTTATTGTCTATATTCTGCAATGGGTAGATTTTGTATGTGTATATCTATGAGATAGCAAGCAAGCAAAATATATCAGAAATAAACTGAAAGCTGGCGCCGGTGGCTCATGCCTGTAATCCTAGCTACTCAAGAAACTGAGATCTGAGGGTCATGGTTGAAAGCCAGCCTGGGCAGGAAAGTCTGTGAGACTCTTATCTCCAGTAAACCACTCAAGAAAACCTGAAGTGGCACTATGGCTCAAGTTGTAAAGTGCTAGCCTTGAGCTGAAGAGCTGAGAGACAGCGCCCAGGCACAGAGTTCAAGCCCCACCACTGACAAAAAAAAAAGGAGACTGAGAAATATGTGTCATGAGAAAGAATAAAACTTTCTCTATTTCCCCTTTCTTCTACATTTCCTTTTCCCAGAGAGGAAGAATAAAATGTATGTTATTATTGTATAAGAGAACGGTCATTACTATGCTTTGATCTTCAAGTTACTTACATTATTGAGGACTTCATGAAATCCTTGGCCTCCTGTCATTTTGGTCCCCATTCTAGCAGCCAGTTGGTACATAAGAGGCAAAAATTTGTATGAAGAAATCTTCATTCCATCTCTCTGCCATAAAAATAAGAAATGTACATTTCAAATATTCTCACATCTAAGCAAATAGATTAGTCTAAAATAAAGTTCCTCTACTAACTCAACTTAGTAGTTGTTAACAAACCATCACAAACTACCTCTCAATCTTTCTAATAGGTATCCTAGACTGGTAACTAAAAATGCTTGATCTAAATGAAACTGGATTTAGTACTAGGATACCTGGCATTCCCTCATCCCAGTGGCTCCAAGGATAGTGTGGGTCTGAATCTTATTGTGATCTTGAATTGAGAATTCAGTGAACAATAAAATGAAATACTCTTTTTTACATGTCAAAAATTTAGTGTGCACTCTAGGAAAACTACTGGTTGTATCTATTATGATGCTTTTCTTTCCCCATCTAGGAGTTTTACCTTCAAACTAACAAAATACATTGTCATTAAAATTAAGATTTTTAAATACAAGCTTCATATTTTCCTTAAAGTATCTTTTTGTATAATGATAAAAGTAATTCATTGATCACATCATCTTAGTCTGCTTTCCAATTTCACCAATCTATTATCTCATTCTAGGTACTCCTTGTGGTAATGGGGACAATGCCAACATAATTTTTTTTTTTTTTTGCCAGTCGTGTGGTCTGAACTCTGGGCCTGGGCAATGTCCCCCAGCTCTTCAGCTCAAGGCTGGTGCTCTACCACTGGAGTCACAGTGCCACTTCCAGCTTTTTCTGCTTATGTGGTGCTGAGAAATCGAATCCAGGGCCTCATGCATGCAATGCAAACACTCTACTACTGAGCCACCTTCCCAGCCCCCAACATAAATTCTTATGTTCACCCAAACTTGCATCATTTACAGTTTATGTAACTATGTGCAGAGAACTAAACCAGATGTCAGGAAAACAAAGGGGTATGTCAAATTGGACACTGATGGGGGTTATAAGTTTTTTTAAACACAAGCTTAAATGCTGGGCAGTGTAAGACTTGCCTTCATCATGTCATTGACTTCAGAAACACCAGAATTTTCAAGCCAGAGGGAGCAAAGTCGAAAAACCCACATATCATGTTCTTCTCCACTTAACAAGCAGTTGATGTAATTTTCAACTGCCTTACACAAGAAGCGTTTACGGTCCTCTTTCAGTGCACGGAGTGCACATTCATCCAGCTCCAGCTCTCTCTGAACCTTTACTGTGTATCTTGCATTAGATAAAGTAAAACACAAAATCATACATATAATAAACCATCTAGCTCAGGAGAAAAATCAAAATAATAAGAATCATAACTTATTTTGTCCTAACTGGAATTTACAAGCTTAGATAACTATAAACAAAATGGACTCAAGCTATTTAGCTTATTTATGCTAAAACATATAGAAATATGTAGAACAGACTTTAGATTTACACTAAAATATATATGACAGATAGACTCAAGGAAATCTTAAATGAAAATTATATTATATCAAAATGGTCTTTTGAATTTAATTTCAATACTATAACTGTGATACTAATTAACACAAGAAAAACAAAAAGAACAAAAACCTGATATCTATATACTCTCTCATGGGCTGAAAACCAGGGTATGAATTCTTTATTAAAGCACATGCATTGGTATACTGTACACTAATTAGGCTGTGATTAGCCACAATAGGGCCAAGAAAATCAAGTACTCAAACCCAAGCTTATTCTTCAAAATTTAAGTATGATAAAAAGTTTAAGTACCACTTCTTATAGAAACATGTCCATTCAGTTAACTGTCACTTGTAGACAGGCATAGTAGTTCAAGCCTGTAATCTTAGCCATTTGGGAAGTAGATAGATATCAGGGGATTGTGGTTTGAAGGCAACCTGGGGATACAAGCTCATGAGACTCTATCTCAATGAAGGGCTGAGCTCGGTGTTGCATGCCCGTCATCTCAAGCTACCGGGGAAGCACAATATTTATGTGTCACAGTGTGTGACTTAGTGACAAGAAGAAGTACAAATAGCAAGACTGCAGTCCAATACATTCCAGCCCCCAAAGTGGCTAGTGGAGAATCTCAAGTGGTAGAGTACCTGCTTAGCAAAGTATAAGAGGCCTTGAGTTCAAACCCCAGTACAGCCTCTCCCCCGCAACTCAAAAAAATTGTCACTTGAGGACATCTAATTACCTGTTTGTCTGGATTTTATGTTCTCTAAGTAGGCCCACTTCTTCTTTGGCCCTTCTCAAGAGAGCTTGCTTGTTTTCAAATTCTGATGAGTTCATATAGTTTTCAATTCTCTGGTACTGAGTATCAGAGAATCGTGCTAATGACAGAAATGCCTTCATTTTTCCATTTCTAAGTTCACTGCTTTCTCCATCATAACTTCCAGCAACTTCCACTGCCTTTAAAAACACATAATTCACTTAAATTCTACTTAAAAATACTAAATACATTTAAAGAATCATTAAAATAGCCGGGTGCCGGTGGCTCCTGACTGTAATCCTAGCTACTCAGGAGGCTGAGATCTGAGGATCACAGTTCAAAGCCAGTCCAGGCAGGAAAGTTCGTGAGACTCTTATCTCCAATAAACCACTAAAAAACCGGAAGTGGCACTGTAGCTCAAGTGGTAGAGCGCTTGCCTTGAGCTGAAGAGAGCAGGGGCAGCGCCCAAGCCCAGAGTTCAAGCCCCATGACTGACCAAAAAAAAAAAAAAAAAGAATCATTAAAATGAAGTTAATTCCACACTAAAGTTTAACCTACCACAATAGTTAAAGCAACTTTGACAGTGAAGTACCCATAACAGCTGATATTTTTAAAACAACATGCAAATATAAAGAGCTCTTTAAAGATAATTACATCTTGCTTTTCCTGTTGTTTTATTTATTGTAGTAACTATCTCCAGAGTTCGTTACTCTAAAGAAACAAGGGGTGAGACAGCAAGGTCAGAGGAAACTGGCAGTATTCAAGTCCTAGTTTGAACTTGAAGTGGGCTGGACTGCACATAAAGAGCAAAGAATGACTTGAATATTCTTTAATTAGATTTTTGTGGATGAATACAAGGACAGATGATCAGAAATAACCATGAAAAAGTATCCAGGGGTGGAAATAGGAAGGGGAAGATGTATGTCTCTCCCTTTGTAACATTCTAGTCTGCCCTTAAGATCATACAGAGCTCCAACAGTAACATAAAGATGAATGAAACCATCTTCACTTGCTTCTAAAATACCTTTGTTCTTGATACAAGGACCATGTGCATTCATGCCACACAAAGATCTGAAGAGATGCTCCAAAAGTTAGCTTACCTTTTCCAGATAGGTCTGCATGATTGCTGCAGGATTTTCTAAGCAAGTTTCTGCTAACCAATTGCCACAAACTCTCAGACATTCTGTGTATAGAAGTTTTAGGTTGGGATTATTCTGTATAAAAACAAAACAAAACCTTAAAGTGTAATTCATTATCATCGCTATGCCAAAAGGACACAAATATAAAACGAGGACTATTGTGGGGAAGAGGAAGTAAGAGGAGGGGAAAGGGGGAAAAGAAGGTCACGTGTATGTGTGTGTGTGTGTGTACAGTCAAAGTGTTTTTTAGCCATGTATGAAAATATCACTGTAAAAGAGGGAAGAAGACTAAAAAAGGGGCAAACACAGTCCAAGTGCTTGGTATGTGTGCATGGAAACGTCACAATGAAACTTATAAAACATAAAATTAATATACAATAATCAAAGAAGTTAAAAATATTTTTCTTCACCTTTTAATCATATAACTAATAATATTAAGTATGAAGGCTTATGAAATAATCATTCTGTACTTTTATTGTTATTACTCTTGAAACAACTCCCATTTATTGAGTGTTTATATGGGCCACGCTTTATGTATACTAACTCACTTAATTCTCACAGAAATCCTATGAACTAAGAACTAATATTAGCCCTAATTTTAAGATGAGAAAGCTGAGAATCAAAGCTAGATCAGGCAGAAAAGTCTATGAGACTGTGATTAACCACCAAAAAGCTAGAAGTGGAGCTGTGGCTCAAGTGGTAAAGCAATAACCTTGAGCCAAAGAGCTCAGGGACAGCAAGCACCCAGGCTCAGAGTTCAAGGCCCAAGACTAGCATCATTAAAACAAAAAGTTGAAGGGGAGGGACCAGGGAGAGTGACAAGAGAGGTGAGTCTATAATGGGCATGTCAAAATAAAATCCCTTTGTACAACTAAATGATGCTAATAAAAAATGTAAAAAAATATTTTTGAAGCATAATTTTGTTTAGTAACAGTAAATATTGATTTAGCCAACTTTCAAAAAAAAAATAAAACCCAAGAACCTCTGTGCAGGTGGCATCCAACTTCTTGATCATTTGCTTGAGAATGCTCAGAGCAAGACTCTGTTCCTTTTTCGCCCAGAATACTTGTGCTTCCTCTAGCTGCCACTCAGAGACTCCACAAATAGCTGAATTATGCTGCTTAATTTGAAATATTGCCCTTTCAGGGAGCTGAAAGGAGAATCACATATGGGAACAATTACTTTTACTATTATTACTGTTATCATTAAAATAGGAACAACTATCATTCATTGAGAATGAGAACTTGACATTTGTCAGGGGCTATCATAAGTAGCTCTATGTTTACCTTCCAAGCTCCAGCCTACATCCATCTATCTCTGTTTACATATGTATCTGCATGTGTGGGTGTGAAATCACTGACCTGTATCAACAAATTAGGAATCTTCTCATTTTATAACCAGTAAATGGAGGTTGAAAGAATATACATATTTTGCCCAAGGTTTAAACTCAGATAGTCTAATTCCATTATGGGAAATCTGCCGGGCACTGCTGGCTCATGTCTGTAGTCTACTCAGGAGGAGGCTGAGATGTAAGGATTGCAGGTCAGCATCTGAGGATTCTAGCTCAGACAGGAAAGTCTGTGAGACTCTAATTTCTAATAAACTACTCAGAAAAAGCCAGAAGTGGCACTGTGGCTCAAGTGATAGACCACTAGCCTTAGGCAATAGAAGCTTGAGGACAGAGCCCAGACTCTGAGTTCAAGCCCCAGGACTGGCAAAAAAAAAAAAAACAAAAACAAAAAAACCCAAACCAAAAAGCCAATATAGAAATCTTAATTATACAACACAGTAGCAACTTCTATCTCTTAATAACATTTTATTCATGCTTTCTGTTATCTGAGTAATAAAAGTAAAGGGAAATAGGTAAGATAAGAGAATTTTACCTGGGTATTATTGAAAGTTCGGGCCAGGACAGAGAATTCTACAAGGTGCTTGGTAAGAATGTCCTTAAAATATTCTCTTTGGGAATTCTCCATTTCCTTTTGCACTAGAATCTCTAAAATGACTGTGCGTAAAGCCATAATTGGCTCCTGAAAACTAAAATCGCTGTCCTTGAGAAGCTGGGAATGTTTCTGCCACTTCATATATACTTCTGATAGCTGCTGTCTATCTGTGACTGACCTGAAAGTCAAATCATAGAGTTCATGTAAATAAGAGAATTGAAAGAAAAAATTACATATGTTTTGAAACTTAAGCTATAATACAAAGGAACTCTTACACTAATAAGACTAGAACTGGGAAATAATCCTACATATGGATCAAAGTTTAGATAACGATAAAATGCTGTGTGGTCAAAGCTCTAAGTAGTCACAAGAGAGGCTACAAATAACACCCATTTCAAGCTTTCGCATAATGTTGTTTGAAGTCACAAAGCATTCTTCTGGAGTAAGAATTCACCACACCTACCATAAAAAAATGCCTATACCTCTTTCCTGCTTCAATACCCTTTGCAGTAAAGGAAAAAATATATCTGCAAGGAAATGAATGAGACTCATTAATTGGAGATACCCTTGCATACGGCTGCAGCTGTCAAAGAAATCTCAATTCAGGAAGGAAAAAAATCACATCAGGTAAAGGTCACACCTGCTAACATTATTTATTAAAGGAGTACATTCATTTATATGAATAGTTTGTTTTCCATATGCATAAACTAAGCAATACTGTCTAATCCCCTGACTACTGTGCTGAAAGAAATGAAAAGATAAAGCAGCTACAAGGGAAGTGATGACTAGGACATGAAAGCATTTTCAGCTGCTGGATAGAAAAGAACACAGTAACACAAAGCCATAGAAATGGAAGCTTTACTGCCTCCCTGAACCCCAAAACAACAAATTCCAAACATTTTAGCCTCAGCAACCCCTTTTACACTCTTACAAATTACTGAGACCCAATAAACTTTTTCAATTTTTAGATTATATTATTGACATTTATAATATTATCTTGTAAGACTGAGAAAAATCTAAATGTTAATTTAAAATAATTATCACACCCATTATTGACAACAGAAGAGCTGCACTTTAGAATTACAATGTCCTATCAAGCACTGGTGGCTCATACCTGTAATTCTAGCTACTCAGGAGTTCAAGATCTGAGGATCACAGTTTGAAGCCAGCCTAGTCAAGGAAGTCCATGAGATTACCTCCAAAAATCTACTCAGAAAAAAGCCAGAGGTAGCACTATGGCTCAAGTGTTAAAGTGCTAATCCTGAGCAAAAGAATCTCAGGGACAGCCCCCATGCCCTAAGTTCCCCAGGTCCCACACAAAAAAAATAAAAGAATTACAAAGTCTCAAAAGCTACTTACCTTGAAAAAAGCTCTCCAATGTTTTCCAATTCTCCGATTGCCTGCAATCTACTAAGTGTGGGGTACAGAGAATACACAGACTCTAGGCTGCCCTTACACAACTCTTCTACTTCTTTTACTCTGATTTAAAAAGAGAGAGAAAAATACACTTTCAAAACTAAGAAGAGGTTTTTCACATAAATGAAAGGTTCAAATTGGAGGTTTGAGTTCTCCTTCTAAACTAACAATACTAATACACATAAGCAACAGTGACTACAAATGGCAATAGAAGCACAGCAAGCTTTGAGATGATACAAACCAGATTTAAATGTAGGTGTAATGGTTTAAATCTGCAACTAGTAACTGCCCTTGAATACACACTAAGCCTGAGTTTTTCCATATTCATGGTTACTTTCAAGATTTGAGAACACAAATGCCAATAACCTCAGAAAGTGGCAGCAAATGTTTCTGTAATAAACACAGGATTTATTAAACCACTAACTGTTAAAAAAATGTTATATCCATTTAGTTAGTTGCTGTTAGTTGCTCCCTTTTGCATCATCTCATTTGTGCCTGAAATAAGCCTGCACTATTCACCATTCATCACCCTTTTATAAATAAATGCCATGTAACTACAAGAACAGACAAAATTAAAATTCTCAAGATACTTGTATAAACAGAATGAAGGAGTGGGCTCAGGGTAAAGAACTGACCAAAGAAAAATATTCTTGACAAAGAATGAAAAGGAAATATTTAATCACAGCCATCAAATCCTCATACCCTTTATACCTTCTCCTCATTACAAATCCTTACACAGAAATTATTTCTCAAGGGCTGAGAAAAGTGGCCATAACATGAAGTTTAGCGCTTTTTTTTTTTGGGTCCGGTTGTGGGGCCTGAACTCTGGGCCTGGGCACTGTCCCTCAGCTCTTCAGCTCAAGGTTAGCGCTCTACCACTTGAGCCACAGTGCCACTTCCGGCTTTTTTCTTTTTTCTTATGTGGTGCTGAGGAATCAAACCCAGGGCCTCATGCATACAAGGCAAGCGCTCTACCACTGAGCCACCTTCCTAGCCCTGACATGAAGTTTAAACATAATTATTAGCCTTTTGATAATACCTGGCATATTTAAGACCTTCATAAAATGTGGAGAATTCTCTGTCTTTTAGACACTGGAGAGCATTGTACAATGACTCGTGGTAACTGGTTTCTTCTATTCCTTTGCTGTGTGGCAATTCCAAGAATTCAAAGAAAAAGATACATTTTAAAACAGAAAATCCTAGGATATACTTGTGTGTATAACTCAAAGGACAAAACAGCAAAACTAAAATTATTATTTCTTATTTAAAAACACATTTTCAGAAATTTTAGTAAGAAATACAAAGAACTGGGGAGTGGGAGGGGGTGGGAGATGGGAAGGGATGAGAAGGGGAAACAAAGGAGGAGGCAACAATGCTTGATAAGAAATGTACTCATTATCTTGCCCATGTAATTGTAACCCCTCTATATGGTATTTTCACAATAAAAAAAAAAAGAAATACAAAGAACTTTGTGGACCAGATCAACAACTCATCAAAGAGAAAAACTAATTAATGCTATCTTACTTAAACATCTCAGTAAATGCAAACTGTACATAATCTATAAAATAAAAGAGCATAGCTCCTGCCACATTCATAGAATGTGATACAAAAAGATGTTTAGATGTAGGATGGCCAGTTTTTAAAAAGCTCGATTTCTTTTTACCTGATAGAATCACAATGGTCCCACTGCATATTCCTCCATGCGGTTTGGTAATAAAGCTCTTGCAGTTCAGCACAGCCCTCTTTATTTTCATGATCTAACCCTTTTAAATAGGTGGAAAGAATATGACAGAGTCCCAAATTCTGCAAGGCCTAAACAGGAATCATTAAAATAAGTAAAGTAAATAAAGACCCAAAATGAATTACCAGAGAAGCAAAAAACAGCAAACTTTGACAATATTACTAAAACCCTAAAATACTACTTTGAATGTTCCCCCAAAACCCACAGAGCTCTAATATTTGATGAAAAAATGCCTAAAGAGTATTAGCCAGTAACAGAACTGATAACTAGGACCAACTCTAACGCAAATTATGATGAGAGATAGTATAGGTGAATTTTCATAGGAAGCATAAATATACTACCTGGCACACACTGTGTATACTCAAGAAATTTCTTCAACTGTTGGCTGACAAAACTTAGGACTAAAAATACCTATAAGGTCAATGACTTGTCTGCGTTCCCTGCAGATCTCTAAGGTTTTAGCTCAATATCTGAAAAAAGATAACTTCCAAGGAACAATGTACACATCCATGCAATTATGACAATGAAACCCCTTTGTATAATTTTTTTTTAAAGACCTAACAAGTCCTATCTCTCAAGCCTATCTAGCTATATAAATACTCCAATGATATACTGAACTACCACGCTAGTGCTGGTTTTACCAAAGCAGGTAAGATGTGTACCTGAATGATTCCGGCCTGGCGGGCTGAGGAGGAAATTGCTGTCTCAAGGTCATATGTTACTAAGGCTTTCCCCCACATTGCTTCATGTTCATAGGTCCGTAGTCTATAAGAATAGATTGCGTGAAATAGCTAAATCCACATGATTCCTTCTTCACTTTTTTTTTTTTGGGGGGGGTCTGGTTGTGGGGCCTGAACTCTGGGCCTGGGCGCTATCCCTCAGCTCTTCAGCTCAAGGCTAACGCTCTACCACGGGAGCCACAGCGCCGCTTCTGGCTTTTTTCTTTTTGCTTATGTGGTGCTAAGGAATCGAACCCAGGGCTTCAGTCATGCAAGGCAAGCGCTCTACCACTAAGCCACCTTCCCAGCCACATGACTCCTGCTTAAACAGAATTCCTATACCATTATCTAGAAAAATGCAGTTTACCTAATAAGGATTTACCTTGTAAGGGGCTGCAACATTTTCCCTCCACCACAGCCATACAGACTATCCGGCTCTCCTATACTTCTATAGATTTCTAAGAGAAGATCCTGAAAAAAGAAATGAAACAAAAATGGGAGAGGCAAAAAAATCAGTTCATGAAATTAGCAAACATTAAATTTCATCATTACCAACATACAATTCTTAACTAAATGTTCTTATAAATAACAGTGGGAGGGAGAGGATGAATGAAGGTGAATATGGTAAAAGTATTTTACATGCATGTACAAAAACAGAACAAGGAAACCTGTTGAAATTTTTTTTTTTTGTCGGCATGGGACTTGAACTGAGCTTGGGCAGTGTCCCTCAGCTCTTCAGCTCAAGGCTAGCACTTGACCACTTGAGCCACAGCACCACTTCCAGTTTTCTGAGTGGTTTATTGGAGATAAGAGTCTCACAGACACAGGTGCCGGTGGCTCACACCTGTGATCCTAGCTACTCAGGAGGCTGAGATCTGAGGATCGCGGTTCAAAGCCAGCCCGGGCAAGAAAGTCTTTGAGACTTATCTCCAATAAACCACCAGAAACCGGAAGTGGAACTGTGGCTCAAGTGGTAGAGTGCTAGCTAGCCTTGAGCTTAAGAGCTGAGGGACAATGCCCAGGCCCAGAGTTCAAGCCCCATGACCCCCCCCCAAAAAAAAGGAGTCTCACAGACTTTGCTGCCACCAGCACCTGGCTTGTAATTCTTTTAAGAAGAATGGAGGGGGGAGATGGAGTGATGGAGGAAGAAGTTTGATGGAGTATATTGCACACATGTAAGGAAATGATGGAGTGAAACCTGCTTGCTCAAGTCATATATGCTAATAAAAATGTAAGTATAAGTGATATTGAATATACACTAAAGATTTGGATTAAAGACAGAGCAACTTATTGAGACACAAAATTTATTATTATAATCTAACTTCAATTTCATAGTCTACCTTAAACATTATTATAATCTACCTTAAATTTCTAAGTTAAAAAAATTACAGTACTGGATTTAAACTCAGGGCTTCACATTGGGGCTCTTACTCCTTGAACCTTGCCCTCAGCCCTTTTGTTGTTGCTGTTATTTTTGAGATAGGATCTTGCTTTTTGCCCATAGTACTTATATTTATGCTTCCTGTTGTAGATGATAGTCACATACCACCATGGTCAGCTGTTTCAGCTGAGATGGGGACTGGTGAACATTTTTTTTGCCCAAACTGGTCTCAAACCAGGATCCTTTCAAATAGCTAGGATAATAAGTGTAAACCATTGCACCCAGCTTATAATTTCATCATTAGATAAGGCATAAATACCAACCAGGCTTCTATTCTTTGACAGTCACAGAAACAAAACCAAGCTTGTCAAGATATAAAATTGTATATAGGGAAATGTTTTTAGAAGTCTGATTCTTACTGTGCACTGGTGGTTCATGCCTATAATCCTAACTACTCAGGAGGCTAAGATCTAAGTATCTTGGTTCTAAGTCAGTTTGGGTAGGAAAGCCACGATGAGACCCTTATCTCTGATTAACCAGCAAAAAAGCCAGAAGTGGATCTGTGGCTCAAATGGTAGAGCACTAGCCCTGAGTAGAAAAAGAAAACTAACTCAGGGATAGTGTATAGGCCTGAAATTCAAGCTCCAGGGCCTACACCAAATAAATAAATAAATAAGCCTGATTCTTGAAATCTGAAACTGGAAAAATAAACATCATGAGAATTGGTAAAGTATGATACTAACTCAAAGTTGATAGGATGTGGTATGAAAGTAAAAGTAGTTTCAATACTAAAATCTTTGTTGTAAATTTACCTATTATTTTATGAATCATGATTAACTGTATTCATAAAATAAAAATGAAAACAGAAAAAGCATTAACGGAAAATAAAAACAAGTTGTATTTCACAGAAAACGGATGGGTCATTTATCTGCTCTATGGTATTTTCTGTAGGAGATACTTTCTAAATACAAACTAACCAATACGGTTATGATTCTAAGCACAATAAACATGAAATCAGGTACCTTCGGTACCTAAGCTAACACAGTGCCAGGTACAGAGAAGATATTCAAAAAGAATCAGGCTGGGCACCAGGAGGCTCACGCCTGTATTCCTAGCTATTCAGGAGGCTGAGAGATTAACACAGGAGGAAGCTTTGCAACAAGCTTCATCTCCAAAATAAGCAGCAAAAAACAGGCTGGAGGCATGGCTCAAGTGGTAGAGTGCCAGCTGAGTGAAAAACTCAAGCAGGAGGAAAAAAAACAATAATAAGAACATACTTTTACACAAGGCATTGCTGACAGTGTAAAATGGTAAAATGCTAAGGAAAGAGAAAAATTAAAGGTTACTACCAAACTTAGCATATGAAGTTTATGAAACACATTAGTAAGTGCTCCTTTTTTTTTTCTTTTTTTGCATGCCGGAGAACAAACCCAGGACTTTGTAATGCTAGGCAAGCCGTCCACCCCTGAGCTATATCCTAAGCAAGCAAGTGCTATTTCAATGGAGCAAGGAGAGAAGTGGGAAGAAGGAAGTGTTAAAGCACTAATTCACAAAGTTTGGCTGTGAAGGGAAGGAAGGAAGAAAGCAACACCTAATGAGACCAAAGGTTAAAGGAAAATCATTTCATATTCATGAGAATAAAAATGTGTTAAGCAGTAGAGGTTTGAAATGTTCAGAATGAGGTTCAGAGGCGGCCTAGCTTATACAATAGCCACAGTACTGAGGCCATACCAAGAAATTTATAGATACAGCAATTTGTTTCTTTTGTGACAAATAGTAAAGAAGTATGACGAATATCAAGTGCTGTACAGAAGACAGAGAGGGAACTATGGCAGAAGTACAAGGTACCAACTCAGCCTGTGTGACGTGAGATAGCTTATTTCCTTCCACCTTCAGGTAAGAAAACCTGAGGTGAACTGGACAAAATTATAAAACTAAAGGGCACAGTCAGGACTAGAACTCAATTCTGACTAAGATCAAAACTTCAAACAGTACATTTACATATATGCTACTCAATTCTATAAGTAACTTTTAAGATTGGATAATACAATCATAGCAAAAAAATCCAATGTGGAAGATAAAATATTGTTAAAACAACAAATCCTCTCATATTTACCTGCAAACTTATTCCAGTTTCTTCTTTACTTTTTTCACTCAAACTGGAAATAGTTGTACCTTGGCTTCCTTCTTCAAATGTAAGATTTCTATTTATAATAAGAACAATTCTTTTAACTTAGAAGGTTATGTATACATTTACTATTTACTATGGTAGAAAAAAATGCTGCAAATTAAACAATGTCCACCCTAAATCTCACCTTTAAATCATGCATTAGCACACACTGAATATTATCTTTCAGTAATATCAGTTCAAAAATCATGACAGCTAGTGTCCACAATAATAATCCATCACATGAAATAATAGTGTATATAATATTTACCTATAAACTTATTCCAGATTTTTCTTTACTGTTTTTACTCAAACTAGAAATAGCCGTACTATGGTTCCCTTCTTCAAACTACTACTTTCCCTTCCTTACTAACTATACTTCTGGTAACTATACAAATTTGTATAATCACTACTTCAAATACACAGAGACTTGAGGAGAACAGCTGGGATAATGAAATTCACATTATGATTCTATTTTCTGGGTATTTTTCAGCATGATCTAGAACTATATTCATTAGTGTCTAGTAAGAGTTCTAATTCAGGAAAGCAAATTAAACAGGAATACAAGCGGTTAATACAGAACACAACTTACTTTGTCAAAAAAGAAGTCATATTACTTCATAGGATACTACTTTATAGTAAAAAAAAAAAATGGATCTTAAATAATTGAGGAATTACCGGTACATCTAACAAAACTAAAATCAGGGAGTCAATCATCTGAAAATATTTATAATTTATATTAGGTTAGCAACATTAGCTGTTAAGGGAGGAAATATCTAGGAGCTTGCTATTCAATTTTTGCAATATATAATACTGCTTCTACTTATTTTAAAGCAGAATTACTTATTTCTTTTTTCATTGTGAAAATACTGTACAAAGGGGTTACAATTACATGGGCAAGATAAGAATTACTTATTTCTTTAAAAAAAGAAATTATGTTTTGCTTGGTGCTGATAGTTCATATCTGTAACTATTCAGGCAGCTATTCAGGCAGCTGAGTTCTGAAGACCATAATTTGAAGCCTAATTTGAAGCCAGCCTGGGCAGGAAAGTCCATGATATTCATCTCCAATTAACCACAAAAGACAGAAGTAGAGGTGTAGCTAAAGTTAAAGTCCCAGTACACACACACACACACACACACACACACACACACACACACACACACACACACACACACA